TGAGATAATGCAGCAGGCTGTGGGGGCTTATGCCTGTAATCCCAGCATTTTGGAAGGCCAAGCAAGGCAGGTGGGTCACTTGAGCCCAGGAGTTTAAGACCAGCCTGGGCAACATGGTGAGACCCTGATTCTACAAAGAATACAAAAATTAGCCAGGTGTGGTGGTGTGCACCTGTAGCCCTGGCTACTCAAGAGGCTGAGGTGGGCGGGTTGATTGAGCCTGGGAGGTCGAGGGTGCAGTGAGCCATAATCATGCCACTGTACCCTAGTCTGGATGACAGAGTGAGATCCTGTCTCAATTAAGAGAGAGAGAGAGAGAGAGAGAGAGAGAGAGAAAATGCTTTCTGTAAAATATGAGGCACCACACAAAGTTAAAGCAATGTGACTCTGTAGACTATATCACTAGCCTAGACCAGTGGTTCTCGCCAGGGGCCAATTTGACACCCAGGGGACATCTGGAAATATCTGAAGATATTTTTGGTTGTCACAACTTATGAACAGTGCTATTGTCATCCAGTAGGTAGAGACCAAAGATGATACTAAATGTGTACAGAACAGTTCCTGACAACAGAAAGTGATCTGGCCTCAAATGTCAATAGTATCAAGTCAGAAAACTCTGATTAAGTCAAAGCTTTACATTACTATTTTTATTTTACTTTACTTTTTTATTTTATTTTTAGAGACAGGATCTCACTCTTTTACCCAGCTGGAGTGCAGTGGTGTGATCATAGCTCATTGCAACCTCGAACTCCTAGGCTCAAGGGATCCTCCTACTTCAGCCTCCCAAGTTACTGGGACTACAGGTGTGAGCCACCACACCTTGCTGACTTCTTATTTTTTTACTTTTTGTAGAAACAAAGTCTTGCTATGTTGCCCAGGCTGGCCTCGAACTCCTGGTCTCAATCTCCTCACCCTCCTTGGTCTCCCAATACACTGAGATTACAGGTGTGAGCCACCATGGCCAGCCCATTACTCCTTTAAAAATGCTTTTTCTAGACCAGTGATTCTTGATCAGGGTTGATTTTGCATTCCAGGGAATGTTGGACAATGTCTGGAGTCATTTTTGTCTGTCACAGCTGGGAGGTAGATATTGGCTATCACAGTCCAGCAAAGCCACTAAACACCCCACACTGCATAGGACAGCCCATCCCACAAACAGAATTATCCAGCCCCAAATATCTAGTGTGCAGAGGATGAGAAACGCTGTCCCAGATGTACCCATACTCACAAAAGAACAACTTTTCTTTCTTTTTAATAAACCAAATAAGGATTTGGTGGTTGTTTTTGTTTGTTTATTTGTTTGTTTGTTGAGACAGAGTCTTGCTCTGTAGACCAGGCTGGAATGCAATGGTGCAATCACTGCTCACTGCAGCCTCAACCTGCCAGGCTCAAGCAGTCCCACCTCAGCTTCCCCGGTAGCTGGGACAGCAGACATGTGACACCATGCCTGACTCTTTTTTTTTTTTTGTATCTTTTGTAAAGATGGGGTTTTGCCGTGTTGCCCAGGCTACTCTTGAACTCCTAGACTCAAGCAATTTACTCACTGGAGCCTCTCACAGTGCTGGGATTAAAGGCATGAGAGCCACCATGCTCAGACATTTTTTTTTTTAATGGAAGCTAGCCTTTCAGAAATGAAGAAATATTTTTTTGGTTTAATAGCCTCAATTCACAGAGTCCCCAGGTTTGGTCATTGTGTCCTCACATAGATTTGTGTAAATGGTTCTTTGCGTCTTAGGTACTTGGCTGGGAAGCGGGTTCTGGGAGCTACTTACAACTGAGCCCAGAACCAAATGATATAGCTATTCAGTTCCTGAGTGTTCTCAGTTATTGGAAAGCTAAGAGAGTACAGAAAAGGAAGGAGGTTTTACATAATGGAAGTTGCAGCTGAGGACACACAGAAGCACGTGATGATACCATAAACCAAAAAACAAACAGTACCATCATTGTTGGGCTGTCAAGTTCACAAGAAATTAAGAATGAACCCTTTTCCACTCACAATTACGTTCTCAGGTCCATACTCTTGAAATGGAAACTTTTGAGAACAGGTGTGCTTCAGAATGTAGAATGTTTTGGGTTTTTTTAAGGTAATGGTGGATATTTCATCTCATATATAACAGCTCGAGCAAAGTCTTGGACAGCAACCTGTGGTCACTACCGTTAATGGTTTTACAGTGAGGCTGGGCACAGTGGCTGACACCTGTAATCCCAGCACTTTGGGAGGCTGAGGCGAGGAGATCACCTGCGGTCAGGAGTTCAAGACCAGCCTAGCCAACATGGTAAAACTCAATCTCTACCAAAAAATACACAAAAAATTAGCTGAACGTGGTGGCAGGCACCTGTATTCCCAGCCACTGGGGAGGCTGAGGTGGGAGAATCGTTCGAACCAAGGAGGCAGAGGTTGCAGTGAGCCGAGATCGAGCCACTACACTTCATCCTGGTGACAGAGTGAGACCCTATCTTAAAAACAAACAAACAAACAAAAAAAACTACAGTGAAACAAAATGAATATCCACATTCTGTGGGATGAATGAAGACTTTTCACTTTATGTTAGTTTTGTGTTAGTTGGTTTGAGCTGGTGTCACTGCCAAGTATGTTACAAAAACTCTGGGTTTTCAATGTTTTTCTCTTCTATTTTTGGTTATGGATAAAGGATTGCAAACCTACATTTCTGAAGGTAAGATTTGAAAAGAAGTGGTGAAGTCCTGTGGGCTAAGAAGGCAAGTGCTGGAAAAGCCTCCTATGCTGAACAGGACCTTGGCCAAGTCACTTGGATGTAGATAGCTCCAGAGTTTCCTCATAGGCAGAAGAGGTGACAGGTTGAGACCCAGGGAATGTTTGCCCAGTGACCCAGGTCAAACCAGCTATGACAGGCTCCATCAAAAACACAGAGCTGCCTGGCCAGCTGGAAAAAGAGCTAAGAGCAGACTCAAAATGGTGATCTCCACACCTCTTCCACGCCCCAGATGCCAGTTCTTATCTGTTTCCAATTTGATGATTCTACACAAGGGGCAGTTTTGCGACCCAAGAAACATTTGGCAGTATCTGGAGACAAGCTTGGATGTCACAACTTAGCAGTGGGTGGGAGGTGGGGGTTTGGGGGGAAGTGCTGCTGGCATCTGGTGGGTGGAGACCAGGGATAATGCCCAGCACCCTAGAGTGCACAGGGCGGCCACCACCAGAGAGTGACCCAGCCCCAAATGTCTGCAGCACTGAGGCTGATAAACCCTGCTCTAAGTAAGCTCTCTCTTACACATTTTAAACACTTATTTCAAGCCAGAGACTGTCATCTGGGAGGACGATTTTATGTACTGGGAGACATTTGGCAACATCTGGAGATACTGTGGGTTGCTGCATCCTACCATGTACTGGACAGCCGCTACAGCAAGGAATCACTCGCCCCAAGTACCAACAGTGCCTCCGTGCGGAAATGCTGGGTAGACAAATTCATCATAAAAGAGAATCTCCCAGTCTACCTCTAAACTAAAAATCTCCTAGTCTTGCAATCACCAAGAGGAACCCGGGACCCTAAGCCATCTCTCTTCCATCCCCCAGGCTTTCTGCCAGACCTCACAGTTGAAGGTGCTACTCCTAATTAGCTCAGTGCCAACTCTCTGTCCTGCACTTCCTTCTCATAATAAGCATTTAATTATTATTGCCATTGGTACTTGCAGTATTTATACTGCTTGTTTTCCTTCATAGACAACACCTAAGGTGAGATTGGACTTCTGTTTCATCATTGCCATGTCCTCTGTTACCTGTGTCCCCTGGACACTGGGGAATTGCTTGCTGACTCAGTGGCCAAGTTTGACAGGAGTTAATTCCCAAACAAGGCTGGAATTTTAAGGAGAAGATAAGATGGAAACAAAACAATGGTAACAGAACCCGGTCTGGAAAGCATGGCTTAGGATTTTTAGCCATAAACACTTAATGCTTATTTTATTAAGCTTTTAAGGGATGCCCAACCAACATTTACTATTTAGGTTTTTAATGCAAACAGGAGTCATTATTATCTTTTTTTGCACTGAAATCTTTTAGATTTGTCTCCTGATATCAGCTGTGATATGATAATCTCATTATAAATGAATATGGGGCAATTTCTCAGTTGGCAAATACTAATGTTACTATAGACACCAATTCACAGGGTATTCAGTAAAGCATTATCATGTGTTCCCTGAGACAAAGAATACCTGCAGTAAATGACATTAAATGGAGCAAACTTTCTGTAACATAATTTCAACACATTTAGTGACATTATTTTAAGTGAAAATTATTTTTAACATTCCTCCAACTCAATCTGCTTGGGTTGGCACAGAAGACAAAACTGATTTGTACATGAAATATGTTGATACTCTGATAAGAAATAAAGTAAGCAAGAACTGGACATCTTAATTCATTATAATTGTTTATAAGATAACAGTTTACTTGAAAGAGATCAAAGGAATTTCTTAGTACCTCTCTTTGGGGGAAAAATCATCCACTTGGTTGGTTTAAAATTACTAGATTACGTACAGAATGCATTGCAAAAATTAAATTGATTTTGGATGTCCATTTTCTTCAATTAATAAAAATTTTGAGAAAACAGTAGCTGATCTCTGAACTATATACTCGTTCCTCAGTTAAACTAGTTCTTTTATAGAGATGATCTTACATAGACAAGCACACTGTAAAAAATGCAGTAATAAACACCACATCTTAAAACCAATGTAGCCTGTTAAGAAACATTTGACTCCAGATGGGTGCAGTGGCTCACATCTGAAATCACAACACTTTGGGAGGCGGAAGCAGTCAGATCACTTAAGGTCAGGAGTTTGAGACCAGCCTGGCCAATACAGTGAAACCCCATCTGTACTAAAAATACACACACAAAAAAATTAGCTAGGCATAGTGGTACGTGCCTGTAATCCCAACCGCTCAGGAGGCTGAAGCGGGAGAATTGCTTGAACCCAGGAGGTGGAGGTTGCAGTAAGCTGAGATCGCACCACTAGGGTGAGACTCCGTCGTAAAAAAAAGAAAAAAACAGAGAGAAACATTTGACTCCGTGCATGGTCCTGAGGACAAACTCAGAGATCTATGTGTATGACCCTCTAGAAAGTAGGTATATATGTTCTTTTTCTACTCTTTAGGATACATATTTAAGGTGAACATTATAGATATTGAATCTGTATATTTAAAATGGAAAAAAAGTGAAAAAACTGTTAATTCCCTCTGAAATTTGTCCTTTAGAAAAGCAGTAAGTTGAAAGCTTAAAACTATGCCAATCTTACAGGGAATGCAATGGATGGCAAAGACATCTCCTGTACAGACATTGTGTCTAACTCAGGAGCAGTGGGTCCAATATTTTCACACATGAAGTTAATTGATTTAATTCCTCTTTTGTGTAAACTATAGCACAAAATGCACCATTTCATATGCTCATTTCCTTTTAGGATTCGCTCCTCGAAACTCCAATATTCTTTATACCAAGCTTGTGTTTTCAAACTACCACTCTAATCCACAAAGACAAACTATTTGGCAATTACTTTCTTCTCCCTATAGACAGCCTTGTTTCAGGGCAAATGAGCAAATGAAAACATATTAGATAAATTGTTATAGGTGGTTTTACAGATATTTTCTTTAATGTAACACTACAGATAAAAAAAATGTACAAACTTTGATTCGTCCCACATAAGAGAATTTAAAACTCTGCCTCCCAGAGCAAACACTTGGCTCTTTTACATATTCAATTAACTTTTGCCAGGCTGCTCTTCAGGTATTTCAAGAGTGGAAGGAAACAGAAACCTTTGGACTTCCTTTGCAGCAGTGCAACTAAAGTAAATATTCCCTGTAGCCATTTTCTGTCAACATGTATCTCAATATCTTAGCGGCAGAGAAGCAAAAACAATAAGTATATTAAAAAATGTAACTCACCAGTTCTCACAAGCCTTTCAGAGAGGGTTCCTTACTGGGAGACTCAGACACTTTGTATGTCTCCTTCAAGGATCTCAAGCAGCTTTGCACACCATCACATTGGACAAGCATCCCAGCCGAACGCTCACCGTCTGTGAATAATTGTTTGACAGCCTGGGCAGTTATATTGGAGCATCATTAGCAATAAAGTCATCACTGAGTAATCTGCAAATCTATCATAAAAAAGTTGTTTAACTGCATGTATTTCTCCACCTGGCCTTCCTCTCCCCCAGTGCCCCACACATTTTCAACATCACTCAGAGGGAAGCTGGGCTTCCTTAACCAACTCATCACTTTGGAGGAGCTTTGGGTGCCAGCCCTGAATACTTAACTGCAATTCATATTCACCTATTGACTCTCTGACCTGGAAAACAATCAGGGGTTCACTGAGAGCATTTCCTGTATGCACTGAATTTTGCATTGCACAGTGCACAGCAAGGAAAGGGAGCATGTGTTGAGGAAGAAGAGGGAGGCTATACAATGGTGAGATGGGCCAGAAACACAGTGATGATTATTTTTTCCAATGAACAACAACATAGGACATGGGTTTAGGATGAGAAGAGCAAGGGTTTTGTTTTGAATGATCTGTCGAGAGCCTGATGTACCTAAGCCTTGCCAGCCTGTTTGTTAAGTGAGTTACACATACAACACAGTGCCAAGAGCCCCAAGGAATTCATTCTCTGTGTCAACACCACAGGGTTGGGCAATGAGCAGGGCTACCACTCAGCAGGGAGGTGTCCCATCAATGCTGATGAAACAACAGGCAGTCTTCTGACCACACATCTTGGGGGCAAATCATACCCCAGGGAAAATAAGGAAAGGAAGAAAGAAAAAAAAAAAAAAAAGCCAAATCTGAGTCTTTGCTTTCATTATTCTGCTTCTGTAAATAAAACATTGCTTATTTCTAATTATTTTGTGTGCCTCCTGCTCTCAGTAGGCACCCAAATAACACATAAAGTAGCGGTGTTAGCCCATTTTCTATTCTTAATAACAAGGATTTGAGCATGTTGAAATCTGAAAAGTATTTTAACATGAATAAACATGACTTGGATTTTACCAAAAGGCAATGTTTTGTCTCCCAGGGTCTCTATAAAACTTACTCATTGCTGAAATGTCTTATACCAGCTAGTGGTCAGAATTCTAGCACATTACATGATGTTTCTGGTCACTGAATACTTTCAAGCTCAAAATTAAATGCCGAGTGAAATACTAAATCTCTGCAGCTTTAATTCCAGGGTAAGACTTCCTTTCCTTTCCACCCTGCCCCCAGCTAAGGCATGCTTTTCGTGGTCCTGAAACAGAGGGCACATACAGGGAAGCTTCTGGCTTTCTCAGTTGTCCTCCTCCCTCATTCCCCCTGCTGTGATTACCGATCCCTCCACCTGAAGAATAGCAGAAAAAGAAAGCAAAAAGGAGCAGAAGGTTCTTCTCTCACTGGTGCTGTCATGAGAAGATTTCAGGCAAACCTGGAGGGCATTTTCTTAAGTTCCTCGAAGGCAGCCCAGCTGAATCTCCCCGATCTGCAACTCCTGAGATATGGGTGATGTTGTCTCTCCCTGCAATTGGTTTTCCAGTGGTGCCTCTCTGCTGGAGTCTCCTCCTCACCCCAGCAGATTTTGTGGGGTGAAAGTCCAAAGTTTTCCTCCTGTTGGTCCCCATCTGGTCATTAAGGTTATCTAATCATGCATATTTGTTTGAGGGACTCTGGAAGTGCAACCTAAATCAACTCCCCCTAGCCCTGAAGCTCACAAGTCTCTAGAGCAGATCAGGCAGGGATCAGGTGCCAACCCCTTAGGTCCTCCAAGAGATGCACAATCAAATACTAACCTCTCTGAGGAGTGTTGCTGAAGCCTCCACACTGGACTGAGGCCAAGAGAGATGCACGCCATGTCGTTGTTTTTATTTCATTTAGGAAACAAGAAAAAAAAAAAGCCTAACTCCACTGGGGAAGAGGCAGAGCTATAATGCCACAGAAACCTCTTCATATGCCCCTACTTTTCTTCTTGCTGTGAGGCCAGAGGTCCACAGCATTCCTGGCTGTCTACATGGAAAATTCCTACAGGATGCCATTTTTTCTTTTTTTGCATCTCATTTCATGATGCTGTCAAATGAGTATCCTGTTACAATAAATATTTCCCAGAATAATTTATCTTAATATGTAGATGGAGGACTTTGGAGTCAGACAGACATGGCATTCCGATCCCAGCATCCACTAGCTGTATGACCTCAAAAAAGTGCTTAAATCACTTGGGTCACTAGCTTTCTCACTAGTGAGGCAGGCAGAAGTATACATCTCAAGACCCTCTAATCAATAACCCTTTATTGATTAGATATAATGTCCTAGGGCATGGTGCCTGGCAAAAAGAAATAGATGATCCTTTTTGGCAATTTTCAGAAGACAGAAGTGAAAAGATTTTACTTTAGAGCTATGAAAACCACTGTTGTTTAAGATCATGAAAAACACAGACTTTGGTATATGAATCCCTGTAGATGCTTAATAAAATTGTTCAGGGTTGAACCTACCTGATGTTTGACATTCCTATAACTGTGCCAACCATCAAAGGCATTGATTGCACAGGAACCATCAAGCTAACACTGGGCATGTCTTCATACTTGGGCCACTACCCAGAAAGAACCCAGTAGAGAGACTGTTGGTGGGAAATCCTGGAGTCCCACAGAAGAAGGGCACATGCAATCAGAGATTAGCAAGCAAACACTCACTCTCAAAGACTTGACATACAGCAATTGCATGAGCAAAGATGGAGGCTTGATAATTAGGGCCCTGAATCAAGGAACAAGCATCTCAATGTAAATTGGGCAAGTGGGATGAGAGCAACACGGTACTCACAGAAGGGTTCTCCTCTTAGCCATGCAGAAGGAAGAGACCTGGAGCTCCAGAATCCAGTTGATACTCTTCCTATTGCGTCATCCACAGCCGCACAAGATAAACAGCAGTGAGCTCTTATACATTCAGGATGGACTCAACTATTCTCCTCCAAGCCATTTGCCAGCTTCATAAAGTCTAGAAATGTTAAAATACCAAACATGCTTTCAAATCTCTGGTTTGGAGACCCTCCTCTATTAAAGTAAAGTTAATGGCACAGTAAAGGGCAAAAACACATGGAAAACCCCAGAATTCCTCCTATGTGTGTTGCATGGAACATGGTTAGGAAGTATATCAAAGGAGGAACACAAAAAATTATGAATAGTTTCTGGGTAGGTATTTTTGCATCTTTGTGGTTTTTAATTATCATTCACTTCCCATTCTTCAGAAGCAGATTTAATCACAGCCTTCTCCTTGCTATACTGCATTTCCATGTTTCAAGTTACAGCTTTATTATTAAACCAAAACCCAAGTCCTAGTAAATTGCCTTTCTTTAACTGGCATCCTAGTTTACTCTAGAAGGAAGAAGACATGGAAATTGATTGCCTCTAAGATTCTTCCAGAGTGGTTTAAATGGCCCTAGGAAATTGACTTGAAATAGATGCTTCCCAAATGTTATTGGTTATACATTAATACAACAGCAGCCAATAAACATATTCAATTGAAATGTGCCCACAAAAGAACAAAATACGTTTGTTGTACGTTTGACTCATCTATTTCACTTAGCCTATTAAACAACTTTCAAACCTGTGCAATTATATATAAACATATATACATACATATATTATACATAAAGACCTTTCATCTGAAGTTTGTTAAAACCACACATACATCCAAAGAGAAGCAAGAGCCAACTAAAACTAAAATCTCACACATGTATGTATCTATATGTAATAAATTAAGTGCATTTAAATCATATATAAAATAAGTCCTCACTTAACAACATCGATAGATTCTCAGAATTTTTTTTTTTTTTTTGAGATAGGGTCTCACTATGACACCCAGGCTGGAGTGCAGTGGCACAATCAAAGCTCACTGCAGCCTCAACCTCCCAGGCTTAAGCAATCCTTCCACCTCAGTCCCCAAGTAGCTGGGACAACAGGTGCATGTCATCACACCCAGCTAATTTTTGTATTTTTTTTTTTTTGTAGAGATTGGGTTTCACCATGTTGCCCAGGCTGGTCTTGAACTCCTGAGCTCATGCAATCCACCTGCATTGGTGTCCCAAAATGCTGAGATTACAGGCATGAACTTCCTTACCTGGCCAATTCTCGGAAACTGCAAATTTAAGAAGAATGATATACAGCAGGTTGTTTCATTCAACATCATTTTGCTATAAAGTTGATGAAAAAAATTGGTTTTGTTATATGTGATTTGCTTAAAGTCACAGTTTCCAAAAATCTCCCAAGTATGTTAAGTGAGAACCTACTGTAATTATATTTCCTCTTAACTTTCTTAAAGTCATACACTTGCAATATTTTTAATATAATATTTAACATATAAATTTGTGTATATATACAAACTAAATATATTTAAGTTATATATAAAGGCATTTCCTCTTAAGTTTATAAAAATCACACCATTATTTATATAAAAATCACACCATAACATATATATGGTATACATATATATACACATATTCTGTTCCCTTGAAGATTCTTAAAATCTTAACTATTTGAGGTACTTAAGATTCTCATTCTCTGAATTTTACTCTGTAAATTTACTCTGCTTTTCCAATGTGTTCGGTGTCACACTGACTTGGGAAAATCCCACAGCCTTACTGAATGACAGCTTCAAGAAAGTTGGTGGTGAGGCAGAATGTAAGTCAGAATGGACTCTATGTCTAACAGCCGTCTGGTATTTCTAAAGTGTGTTTGAGGGAGATATTACTTTCTTTTTAAAGAGCATATGTGATGGTCCCTGCTGAGTAAGTTTGGGAATTGTTGTGTTTAAAACAAAACAAAAAATGGAAAGACCATCGTTGACCACAGAAATGGGAGAGTTTCAAGGCTGTGGACTGAGGAGGCAAAGACCCATTCAGCACACTTCCAGGCTTATGTGATCATTGATCATGGGGAAGCTGAAGGAAGAGGCTCTGTAACCAGCTTTCTGTTCCCTCCAGATGTTAGCATGCACCAAGCAGAACAGGATTTGGGTGCAAGTAAAATAAAGGCGAAAACTTTTGATTCTAGAAATGACTGGTTCGACCATGTTATCGCTGACACGCCACACTGACATCAGAACTGCAGAAAACAAATGTTTAATGTTTCTTGTTTATTTTTTGAAGCTTCCTTTTCCTTATTGTTTTCTTGCTGGTGGTTTCTAGAATACTTTGTTCCCCTTTATTTGCACATTCATTCTTGTATTTGATTTTGATATTATCTGTTCACATTGTGGTCGTGATTACTTACAACATAAGAAATTTTGAAAACACATAGAAAACATATTAATAGACAGTTTTTGCCTTTTGGATCTTTTTGAGGAAGGAAGACCAACAGAGGTTGAACTCTCCACCCTGATCCTTTTCAGGTATATGACTTGTGGCAAGGTATATGACTTGTGCAAAGGTATCTGACTTTCCTCAAGCTCCATTTCTTTATTTTTGTAAGAATAATTCCATTGTTTACTTTGCAAAGTTGTGGAATCAATGAAATAAGAGATCATTTATAAAGTTGTGAGTATGCCATAATTATTTGAGGGCTGGTGGCTATTATGATAGTTATGAAACAATGAGCCAATTTTAACCATGAACGAGTAATCACTCTTTCATCTCAGACTCTTAGCACGTGGCCTTTATAAACACTCTGGAGAAGTGACCAGAGCACTAAGCAACTTGCCTAAGATATGACAGGAAATAAGAACCTTGCAGGTGAGCACGTGGTTTATTCAGAAGCAACAACATCTCAAGTCGCACATTAGAGATGGCACTCGGCACTCTGCGTGGTGAGCTCCAGCTGTGATTCCACCCAAGTAGAGAAGCTTCAGTGGGCAGGGTTAGTGGGCAGCCCACCTTGTGAATGTGGTGCAAGACACAGCAAAGGCCCAAGATGCTGACATCACCAGTTGTATTCATTGTGGGCACACGGACCCCTCACAGGTCCTGGAGGGAAGGGGCTATGCCAGAGGAACTATCAGGAGAGAAACAGAAAAGGAAGAGAATGAGGGAGGGCAGGAAGGGGGAGGGAGTTTAGGAGGACAGGAAGGAAGATAGGAAAGGAGAGAAGAAGAAAAGGAAGGGAGGAAAGCAAGAGGGAGGGAATCGATGAGGAGGTCAGGAAGGAAGACAGGAAAAGAGAGAAGGAGGAAATGAAGGGAAGGAAGGAGAGAGGGAGGGAGTCAATGGGGAAGACAGGAAGGAAGACAGGGAAAGAGAGAAGGAGGAAAGGAAGGGAGGGAAAAAGAGAAGGAGAGTGGGGCAAGCAAGGAAGGAATTGTTTGGAGTCAGGAGCCCTAAATCCTAGAACAATACGATGATAAAGGGTGGGGTGTCATGAAGCCTGAGCCCCTCTCTCAGATGTCCAGTCATGTCTAGTCAGTGAGAATCCTGGCAGGAGAGAGGAAATTCGAATCCATGGTAGAGTCTGACCACATGCCTCACTTCCCCACATTTTTGGAGCACACATCCTCCCTTCATATGTGCTATTTTAGAATAGTGTATGTCTACTTAGGCAATAACATTATGGATATTATAAAACATGATTTTTAATCATTAGTGAAGGCTATAAAGCTGATGTTGGAATTTCTCTTTTCTTGTTATTAACTGGAAGCTACATTTTATTATTTTTATAGGCATGTCCTTAATCCCTCTATTTTTTTGAGAAAGATTTAAAAGTAAATAAGCTGTAAATACACTTTACCTTAATATGTACATTGCATTATGCTGAAATCAAATAAAATGGTTGAGAGCAATGATGTCTCCCTTCCTCCCCGCAAGGATACCTAGAGAAAAGACCAAGACACGAGAATATTCGCCAGCGTTCACACAAATATTAAATGTTAGTGTTGGGTGCATTGGCTCTTGCCTATACTTCCAGCACTTTGGAAGGCCAAGGCAGGTAGATCACTTGAGGTCAGGAGTTTGAGACTAGTCTGGCCAACATGGTAGGACCCACTAAAAAATACAAAAATTAGCCAGGCATCGTGGTGGATGCCTGTAGTCCCAGCTACTTGGGAGGCTGAGGTAGGAGGATCCCCTGAACCTGGGAGGGGAGTGTTGCAGTGAGCTGACATCACGCCACTGCACTCCAGTCTGGGTGCACCGTGAGACTCTGCCTCAAAAAATAAAAATAAAAACAAAATAAAATAAAATAAATGTTAGTAAAACTTAACACATTTGCTACTTCTTTACATTAAAATAATAATCCTAAAGCCCCCTCCCCACAATGAAGTAGCTGGTATACCCCAGGAGGGGTCAATGATCCAGACCATTACATGCCCTGGTTGAAAGGCAGATGCTATCAGTCTGGGGGTGGCAGCTGGGATTCTGCATTTCTAGCGAGCTCCCAGGAGATTCTGACACTGCCAGTTCATACCATGTCTGTTGTCCACCACTGCGGAGAATCAAACTGAACCTCTTGCTCAGAGGGTTTGTACTCTGATGGTGAAGGGGTTCAAAAACAATGACCCTCTTCACACAAAACTACCAGATACATCCTGGGGTACAAAGCCAGGAGTGGCGAATTCAGCCGTCTATGTCAGGCTCCCTTCCTGAGCTCATTGGGCTTGCAGGAAATCAGCAGTGGGAAGAGGTAAGAATATTCAGTGCTTCTAAAGCAAGAGACTTGCTAAGTCAGCATTGCTAAGCCAGCTATACTGGGGAAGGCAGGTAAGTCTGCAACGAGGAGCCCAAATTGAGGCCCTATCAGATGGAAGTCTGAGCTTTCTCAGCATCATCAAGAAAAGTAGACTGTGGACAGCCACTGAGAAAGATGGTCCCTTGTCCAACCTGTTACTCTCCATCTATGCTGGGCAAGATTTGTACCCCAGAAAAGTAAAGAGAAGAATGGGGCAAAGGGGGCTCACAGAAAACAGATATAGCAGAGTGGAAACCAAATACAACAGATAACAAAAGCACAGAGACACAGGAACCAGGACAACAAACTAAGGAAGCTGAGATAAGCTACTACTCCATACAGGATGGTATATATACACACACACAATAAATGGCATGTTTAAGTTTATATGTTGTGTGAAAGGTCAGCTGTTTATTTGTTCCATCAGTTGTTAATGTGCTTTTGACGCCATCATACTGTAGTTTACGGGATCATTTCTATTGTATCTTAAAATTGTCAGGAAAAGTAAGGTATTGTCCTATTGGGAAAACACAACTGTACAAAGGTAAACTGTAATTCATGGAAGGAAATGCATTCTCATCAGCATAGAAGCTGTCCATCTTTGGATGTTGGAGAATTATGTAAACCTAAAAGCTAACTTGTTATATGTATGCAAATCACATCAATAGAACAAAATTTCATTCTTTTCCAATCTAACGTGTGACAGAGAAGCCTTCACACATTGTTTTTTTTTTTTTTTTTTTTTTTTTTAAGAAGAGTCTTCCATCTTATTCACTGAAGTGATGTCACTGAAAAGTGTAGGAAAAAAGACTCACTAAAAAAAAGATGTGAACCATGTTTTCACATCTGTGGAGAGCTGAAGTACATAAGGTTTCTCTCAATCTGTCTCTTCCACAATTGCTGTGAGGCCTTGCCATTTCATCAAAATGGCACTGGGGCCTTTTTTCTTTTGAAAAATACTCTTAACTTAATGACTAAACAGAGATGTGAGGTGGTTATGATACCAAAAAAGAAAAAAAAAACAACAATAACACTGACATGTGTGCATCCATTTGTTTCCAGAGAAAGGAAAGAATCTGGGAGGGAGAATTGTAAGGACTCCAGGTGGGAAATACTGTCATATTGACTGCAGGTACCCCAGCAATGTGAGTGGAATGCATCTACTATGGCATTGTGTTCCCCAAAAAGATATGTTGGAGTCCTCATCCCCACTACCTCAGACTGTGACCTTATTTGGAAACAGGATCTTGTCAGTGGAGAGCAAATTAAAATGTAGTCATTAGGGTGGTCGTTAGTCCAATAAGACTGATGTTCTTATAGCAGGAAAAAAGTTGGACAGAGACACACACAGGAAAGACGATAGGACAAGATACTGGGAAAGGAAAGCCAGGTTCAAGCTGAGGAGAGAGGCCTGGAATAGGTCCTTTCCTCACAGCCCTCAGAAAATTAAGCCTGCTGACATCTTGATCTAGGACTTCTGGCCTCCAGATCTGTGAGACAATACACGTCTGCTGTTTAGGTCACTTAGTCTGTGGTGCACTATTATGGCAGCTGTAGCAAACTAATACAGAAATCACAAATGACTGCGTTTGAGTAGAAAGTCCCTTCCTAATTTTCTCATGAATTGCCTTCTCTGAAATCTAGTATCCTCAAAGGGAAAGCATGATTGCATTAAATGGGGGAAACTCTCTTATAGTACCAGCTCTAAGAATGCATAATTTTATTGACTATGTACTATGCACTAGTACTAAGGGCTTGCTTGACCTGCCTCACCTCCTTTACCATCTCCATTTTACCCAGGAGGAAACAGACACAGAGGCACTTTGTCTATCATAGATGATAAGTGTTCTTGCTGAATCCAGGCATTCCCCCGTCCACCATGTACTCAGTAAACTAGAAATACACCCACATGTTTTACACCTGGTTTTGTGCGTGTTTTTTCCTTTTTTGTGGCAAACGGGATCACACTATATTGCTCAGGTAGGTCTTAAACTCCTGGGCTCAATCTATCCCCCCAAACCCCACCTCTGCCTCCCTAAATACTGGGATTACAGGTGTAAGCCACAGCACCTGGCACACCCTCACGTTTTTAGTCTTAACTCTATTATTTCAGCTTCTCGAAAGGTCCAAGTCTTGTCCTTAAAAGTGAATACACCACATAAGAGAACACGAAATGGACAAAAAAGTATATTTCTGACTATGGCAAAAGGGGGTGGAGGGGAGGAAGAAAACTGTTTAGATGGCATTTGAAAAGTTAAAAAAGGAAGAAACTCAGAGCAGCCCAAAAGACAGATGATACCTAAGAAGGCTTAATGAGAAAGACATGTTGACTTATTAGTATTATTTCAGCATCCTCCTTGCACAGTTTGGCTTTGCTCTGAGACAATGCACCAGTCTGGGATACTGAGGGATGCAGGCACGGAGGTTGTGCATCCTCTCCGCAGACACTACGCATGCACGACTGCCAGTTCAAGTCGCGGTCCAAAACCGCAGGGAGGCGGGGGCAGGCGAAACCGAGAAACCCACCCACGGTCCAGGGGCTGGCGTTCCAGGCTCGAGCGAACCCACCCAGGGACCTCCGTGACCAAGGCCATTTGCCTGCAACCTGATGGCTCGCAGTGATGCCACCCTGAACATTTTCAACCCCCTCTCCCCACTCGACAGCCCCCTTGCACGGTCCCTCCTTCCTCATACACACCCCTGATCCAAACTCAAGCAGTGAATTTGCCCCCAGACGAGGGCCTCGGCTCTGCGCGGCCGTTGGCTGAGTAGCTTGGCCTGATTCCGGGTGTGACGTGAGGAGGAATTGATGCGGGTTAACGTATCGCGCCCGCCCGCGCCGAATTCCCAGTCTGCAACTGCCGCAGCGGCGAAAGCCCGAGACGCGCGTGCGCGGAGCGGCACTAGGCAGCCCGGGACGCGCGGGTTCGGAGGCGGGCTTGGGGCCGTGGGAAGCGCGTGCGCAGATTGGCCCCGGAAGCCCGAGGAGGCCCTGACTGCGCGTGCGCAGGGCGGGCGACTGCGCGCGCACTTTTCCCTCGCCCGCCCCCCCCCCCACCCAGAACCAGAAGGCGGTACCATGGCGGCTCCCCCGCCCGCACCCCCGCCACAGCCAGTCACCCACCTCATCTTTGACATGGACGGACTTCTTTTGGGTGGGTAATGTGCAGCCACCGCCTCCCGCGAGGGCGGTCCTGGGTGGGCGTGGGAACGGTCTGCGCGGGATACGTCACGGCCGGGGGCCCGCGGCGGGGCTGTGTTTGAGCAGGGACCCTGGGGCTCCCGCGCGCTGTATCCCGCACAGGACTCGAAGTCGGGCGGCGGCCAGCAGCGCCCGCGGGCCCATGTCCGGACTGGAGGGCGCGCGTGGCTGCGGCGTCTACGCGACCTCAGCACCCGCTTCCGGTCGGCGGGCCGCTCGTGGGGCCGGACCACGTGGGCGCGGTCCCTGGGGACCACCAAGCGGGTGCGCGGCCCAGCGTCTTCTCTGCAGAGCTGGGCGCAGCGGGACCTCCGCTCCCTTTTCGGTTACCCACAATTGTGTCCTTGAGCGGTGCCCAGCCTCAGTTTCCCGGTCTGCAAACTAGCCTGGAGGATACTTGCCTGCCTACCCCAAGGTTGCTGCTGTGGGCGCACCTTGATGGTAGCATCCTACGTGGTAGCGGTTCTCCACCTGGTGGTTTGGCCACCCTGAGGGCATCTGTCAATGGTAATGTCAGGAGACATTTTGGATGTCACAGTTGGCGTGGAGGGATGGGGTCACTGGCATCTAGTGGGGTCCAGACCAGGGATACTGCTAAACTTCCCACATTGCACAGGAGTGCCCTATGCAACCATAAGGAATTATCTCGCGTCGTCAACAGTGTAGAGGCACAGAAGGTCTGCGAAGTGGCCTGGCTGCCTAGGGTGACCGGCACCAGGGACATCACCTGGGAGCCACTTGTAAAATGCAGATTCTGCATTTTAACACAAGTGCGTGAACCTTTGAGAACTCCTGCTCTATCAATAAGAGGCATTTAGAAACCCTTGGTAGTGTACTAACGTAGTCATAGCACATGTGAACTTTACCACCCAAGAGGAATTCAAGTAGAATTCGAAGAATAAAACCCTGTTTTTTTTTGTTGTTGTTGTCTTTGAGACGGAGTTTCACTCTTGTTGCCCAGACTCTAGTGCAATGGCGCGATCTCGGCTCACCGCAGCCTCTGCCTCCCGGGTTCAAGCGATTCTCCTGGTTCAGCCTCCCGAATAGCTGGGATTACAGGCATGCGCCACCACGGCCAGCTAAGTTTGTATTTTTAGTAGAGATAGGGTGTCTCCATGTTGGTCAGGCTGGTCTCGAAACCCCGACCTCAGGTGATCTGCCCGCCTTGGCTTCCCAAAGTGCTGGGTTTACAGCAGTGAGCCACCGCGCCCAGCCTAAAACCCCATTTTTAACTTAAGATAGAACTATACCAAACTCTACCCAAAGCCTCAACAGAATTAACACCATGAAACATAATCACCAGGATGCTTCATAGATGTGTAAATGTGTCTGCCTACTCTGTGTAGACTGCTGACCTGCTTGTTTACGTTCATTCCTTCGTTTGAAAACCCTGCAAATTCGGAGGAAGTATTTGCATTTCACTAATTAAAAAAAAAAAAAAAGGCCGGGCGCGGTGGCTCAAGCCTGTAATCCCAGCACTTTGGGAGGCCGAGGCGGGTGGATCACGAGGTCAAGAGATCGAGACCATCCTGGTCAACATGGTGAAACCCCGTCTCTACTAAAAATACAAAAAATTAGCTGGGCATGGTGGTGCATGCCTGTAATCCCAGCTACTCAGGAGGCTGAGGCAGGAGAATTGCCTGAACCCAGGAGGCGGAGGTTGCGGGGAGCCGAGATCGTGCCATTGCACTCCAGCCTGGGTAACATGAGTGAAACTCCGTCTCAAAAAAAAAAAAAAAAAAAAAAAAAAGAAAGAAAGAAAAAAACAACCTGCAGCTGGGAGAGGTAAAAGTACTTGCCCAAGTCACACAGCCAATAAGCCAAACTGAGAAACGATTCTGGATTGATCCTGTTCTAAATATAAATGATGTTGAGCTCAATTTAAATTGTGAATGTGACCTTGTTCCTGCTCATCATATTGCTAGGTAGTTAACTAGCAGTGTTTTCTTTAAAAAAGGCACACAATAACTAGTCTCTTCATTTTATGAACACAGAGATATAAACAGATTAATTCCAGAGGAAAAGAAATCCCCATAGAGGTCACTAATTGGAGCCAACAGCGTATGCAGCTACTAAATTTGAAATGACTCAATTTCAGAAAGCTTCTGGGATACATAAGCATAGTTTGTAGACATGAATTTTCCTACTCTGGTGGTCAAGAAGTTAAATTGTCAAATAAATTTCTTACCCTCTAATGAAAAGTCCAGAGAACCTGTTCTGGGAGTCTCATGAATTTTAATACTAAACAAGATGTCTCATTAAAATTAAATTTATTAAACTTCTAAATGAGCTTGATGCCTAATTCTCATTCTAGATTTGCACATACCCATGCCCTGAAGCGATGAATGTGACTTAAATGGCAATACAACCGTTGACCTCACATTGTTACCCAGTCCTCTGATCTAGTCAGATAACCAAGAATTAGTGCTATTTGGAAAAATAAGCCCTACCTCTTTTTACTCCCCTCCCTCATTTTCTGCCCATTTCTTCCATTCTGGCCCTACCTCTTCTTTGAGGTGGTAAGGCCTTGCAAAACCTTCTTGGAAATATACCTCTGCTTATCCTATTCTTTTACAAAATGTATGAATACAAAACACTGCTTTCCAAAATATACCAGTTTAATTTAATCTACCAGATTATGCCTGCTCTCATTCTGTATCCTCTCACTTCAGTGTATCTATTGATTGCATAACAATATGTCATCAATTTAAAATGAGTTATTTTGCAGTAGGTCTGTTTTTTTGGAAATTTTGAATGCATTTCCCTAGGAAGTTCTGTTTGTCAATGTAGCCCCAATACTTGCATACTTGTGGAAGTAAAATTGAAAATGAATAATTTCATGGAGGATTGTTAGCATTACAGGAGAAGCTTGTTTAATCAGAGGAGGATGAGGAAGTAAATAGAGATTTTAGAGGAAATGTTGACCAGGAAGAAAGCCTGGGCATTTTGCCATGCTTTTGACATGCACGATGCTGTTGTCTTTTTTTTTTTTTTTTTTTTTTAAAGAAAACACTTTGGATTCTGTTTCTCATAACCAAGGTAACAGTCAGTTATGATTTAGGTAATATTAGTAATTCTAGCTCTGAAATGCCGTTCAGAGAAAAAGGGGACTGAGATTAGTTAGAAACTGGGACAATATTTTGAAGCAAGAAGATGACAAATATTAAACAGTATCTCAGCAGCTGGACAAGGAAGATGATTCCATTTGTAAATAACTGAAATTAGGAGCACAAAAGATGGTCCCAATTTCTTTAAAATTAGAGAAGACAGTTTGTTGCCCAGAGCAGTTCTGTCTCATAGAATAGAATTGAGCCAGGTGAAATTTTTTGGGAGCAACTTTTAATAAGTAAAAAGATACAGATGACGTTGATTTGGATGATGTTATGTAACCTAATGTCTCAGAAATATTACTATTCAATACATAGTCAATATAAAAATCATTGACGTGTTTGACATTAATTTTAATACTAGGTCCTCAAAATGTGTGTGTATTTTATACATACAACACATCTCAGTTTGAACTGGCCTCATTTCAAGTGCTCTATAGCCTCACTTGGTGAGTGGCTGCTGGCTTGGACAGCGTGGGTCTAGGTCTTTGTGGAGTAACTCACGGTGTCTGTTGTTAATAGCTATGCTGGGAGGGCCAGGCAGAGGGTGGGTGTAAAGAATATTCAGAATTAGGAATTTTGGTGTATGTAAAATGTGGTATGTGTAAAATGTATTTTCTTGGAGTCTGATACAGAATTATTTAAAATCCTTTTTAAAAAATCAAAGGAAAATAAGCTTATTTTCAAAATCTTAAAACACTGTAAAATAAATAAGGTAGATCTGCAAAGGGTAATAAGAACATTTGCAGTATCGACCATAATATACCATATCTTTATAAATCCAGATTGCAGGATTTTAATGAGTGACTTCTACTTTATATAGTAGAATGAAGACCTGTTCTTTGCCTTCTTGCACTCCCATAGCTTCCTCCTTGCCAAATAATAGCACTTGAGACTGTAAGTGCCTGCCTTATTGTCTGGGGCCCAGGAGACACTGAAAGGTCATGGAGGTAGGGTCTCTGTGGTGATCACCAAGCCCAGTACCGATGGAATTGTGGGCTGCCTGAGACAGTTGACAGTTATGTTCACCGTGTGCTCAAAATTCCATAGACACAGCATGAGTGTGTTTCACACTATCATTCTTTGTTAACTTCGTGTAGGCTGTTTCTCTGTACACTGTAACATCCATATAGCTGAAGACAAAAATAGATTTTTCTTATGTAATATTAGCACATGCCCTAGATGGATTGTCAGAACAATCTATGTATGTCGTCATTTGACCCCTTGAAATACGTCTGAGGTTTAAAAGTGCAGTTGGCGAGGTTTTTAGCCTCAGTAGATTCTTACTGCTTGATGTTATCAAGTCATTTGTTCCAAGTGCGGTTTTTAAGAGTTTTGGCCCATTTTTGAGGAAGGTGGAGCAAACCGAAGGATCATTCCTCATGCTTCTTCCATAGGTGGTCATTGTTTAACCCCAGAATATGCAGAGATCCTAGTTGGAATGAGACAGTAATCACAACCTCCCCTCCTTCCATCATATGTAATGAGTCCTGTTCTGGATGTCAAAGCAACTCTGGTGGTAGGTTCACATTCTTTCTTTGCCCTGCCTCCCCTGGGGGCTGTCAGTGCACCCTTGGGTTCTAACCTTGCTAGGTGAAATGTAGGTTCTCTTCCACATTTGCAAAGGAGATGGTTGAGGGTGGAGGCCAGTGTGAGGGCTTGGGACAGAGGTGAGCCCTTACCTCAGGGGCCATGATTGGCCTTTCACTACAGTGTGATCAGTGAATAATCTGTTGTTTCTGGAAACTGAAAAGGTTTCTGGAATATAGCAAGCACAAGACACATGTGTTTCTATTAAGAGTTTGAAGAGATTTGGAGTAAGATGCTATATTTTATGTCAGAGAAACAGCATCAAATTATAGACTTAGCTCCCTTTCGCTCTGCTTTCTAATAGACCTGAACCATGCCAACTTTAAGTTCTTGTAGTAAGTGGTTGGTTGCCTACTGCAGCTGTTTCTGTTTCTAGAATAACTGAGAAGGGGGTAAGACTTAAATCTGCAGATAAATAAGTTTTGTCCACCTGGCAACACAACTTAAATATTCAGCAGATTCTAGGTATGCAGGTATAAAATATTATTTTCTTTTTTCTAGCTCCAATAGAAACAGTATGGTTTTATTTAGAATCTTCAAATAAAGTGGATACAGGCATACCTGAGAAATATTGTGGGTTCAGTTCCACATCGTCACAG